AGAGTTCATGGAAAATATGCTTTATGAAAAAAAACTATGCATGGATTTCAAAAATGTTTGTACCACCACTTATCTCTTGATCTCATTTTTCTGTGAGTATTTCCTCCAGCTGCATACACCTGGCACAGGAGTCAAAGAAAAACTGCTTTGTAGTCCTTCCTAGGGGACTAAGAAAACTTCAGAAACTCCCACACATACACGTGGGGCAGCTGGCCACTTTCCTGGTGACAGCATGCACCTGGGTAGGCTGTACCGGTCACACAGGCCACCACTTTGAAATGACTGTTGCTTCTATAACCAGGCTCCCATGGGCCTTGTCTGACTCTCAGATTGTTGGAAGGAGACCCCAGGTCTCTGTGATATGCACAGCCACTTTATGTCACTCCCACTTTATGTCACTCTCAGGCATTTGTCATCTCTACTAAGATCTTTTAGCCACTTGGTGACATGCTCAGACTCCATGTTTCCTATGTAACTCTATGTGATACCATCAGCCACATGCATCTTCCACCTGGGTTTGCACATTCACATCACAGCCAGCTTATAGGTCACAGGTGAATTTTCCCCTACCCTGATTCTATTACACCCTGGCATGCAGACCACAAGCCAGAGTTGCTCCATCTTCATCTACCTATCTATTTATCTATCATCTATCTCTGTCTCTATAGCTCTAATAGCTCGCTCGCTCTCTCTCTCTCTCTCTCTCTCTCCCTGTCTTTAATCATAGCTTTCTAATCCTTGGGCCCTTTCAAAATTTCTTGAATGCAAGGTGAAACCAGAAACCAGCATTAGAAATGCCCACTCTCTTGTATTCAAACTTTGCCTGTCCCCTTAAATCCAGTTCTTGGCTTTTTAAAATTTTATTCAAGGTATACAAATTTCATATATTTCATGTATACAGATTTAGGAACATAGTGATACTTCCCACCCTGCCCTCCCTCCCACCCATGCTCCAACCCTTCTTCCTCCTCCCTCTCTATTCCCATTCTTAATTTTTACAAAGATATATTTTCATTTTCCTTTATACTCATAAGACCAATGCTACACTAAGCAAAGAGTTCAACAATAATATGAAGAAAAACAACACTGCTCCTCAACAGTGGAGAAATGAGCTGTAAAAAAAGTTATCAAATCTCAAAATGTCAATTTCACTCCTCTACATTACATTTTAGATACTCTATTAGTTACTACAGATCAGAGAAAACATATGCTATTTGTCATTTTGGGACTGGCTTATTTCACTAAGTATAATGGTTTCTAGTTGCATCCCTTTTGTTGTAAAAGATAGGGTTTAGTTTTTAAAGAAGCTTGATTGCTTCAACTTTGCCTTTGGGTGGAGTGTCTTCCAAACAAGGTCCTCATAACCTTGTGAAAATGTACTTAGAGTTTCTTCTGTGTATTGAGATAGCCTTTGTAGTTTATATATATACTCTTTAACTTTTTTTTTTTTTAATTTTCTATGGTCAACACATGTGCAGCCCTTGTCACGGACAGTGGCTCATCAGATTATTCGTGGAGCAGACACTAAAGGGAGGAAGATGGGAGAATACAGTAAATAATAGGGCTGGGAGAGTCCGTATGACTATATGAGTCCTTTTCTTTTAAATATTTATTTATTTATTTGAAAGGCAGAGTTGCAGAGAGAGAATGATGGACAGAGAAAGAGAGATATCTTCCATCCACTGGTTCAAACTCCAAATGTCCACAATGGCCAGGACTGGACCAGGCCAAACCCAGGAGACAGGAGCTTCTTCTGGGTCACCAATATGGGTTGAAGGGCCCAAGTACTTGGACCATCTTCCACTGCTTTCCCAGGCACATTAGCAGGAAGATGGATTGGAAGTGGAGCAATCAAGACTTGAAACACCTCCCATATGGGAAGTTGGCAACACAGGTGGCAGCTTTATCTGCTATGCTGCAATGCCAGACCCTATAAGTGCTTTTCATTCAACCATATACACAATGTTCTACAATGTTCTGCCTTATATTTTTAGTGGTTTAGCTAATTTTATGATCAGAGTCTGACCAGCTAAGCAGAATATAGAGCACTTTGATTTTGAAGTCAGTAGACCTAAGTGTTAGACTCAGCTCATCCACTTCCTAAGGATGTGATCTTGAGCAATTATTTCCCTTTCAACCTCAGTCACATGAAGGGTTGCACAAGAATCACACAGGAAACAAACCAAGCAAATACAGTCAAGGCAAGACTAGGTAAAGTTGTCAAAGAAGGCTTCTTGGAGACATGAGTGAGCTGAAATCTGAAGGCAAAGGAATCGTCAGTGGGTTGATGGGTGCAAGGCAGAGAGGATGGCAAATGTTATCTTCTTGGAGAAGGAACAAGCTTGGTGAGTCCAAGAAGGCCAGGTGGCTCACCCTGAGGTCCCTTCAACAACTCCAGGGCAGCTGTGTTTTGTAGTTTCTGTTATTTGTACGTTCATTCAACTTTGAAGAAACCCATATTATTGATAAAGTTTAGAAGGCCATTTTAACAAATGTAGTGGAAACAAAAGAACAGGCAAAATATTGCGTGGTAGTAATTTTGATATTTTTTATTCATAGGGAAGTGAGCATGTTCAAAGCCAAGAAAGAACCCATAAGAACCTAAAAGCTACTCGAAGCTGGAGTTGAACACAGTTCAAGCAAATATAGATGTTTCTGTAGTCAGAAACCAAAACTTTATCTAATTCCATTAAATAGGATCACAGGACTCTGCAGTTATGACTTCACTTCCTCCACAGGGGCAGTTGGCCCTTTCTGTGATTGATGGTCAAGTTCAAGAGAACCTCGATGAGAAACCAAAATCTCTTTCTGGCAAGAAGTGGACTCTTGATGGCAATTGCACTGGCTAGCTGCCTTGCTGATGTCTTGTTTCTCAGGGCTAGAAACTTTATTTAAGTCAGAGAATAATGTGGGAGAGAGGCATAGCAGGGAACTCACCAACAGAGGACCTGTGTCTGAGTCCAGCTCCCTGACATGCTAGCTGTGTGACCTTGGTCAAGTATTGAGCCTTTTGGAGGGTCCAGCACCTCATCAGAAGCAGTAAGATAGTGGTCCCTGCTCTGCCTTCCACCTAAGATTGCTATGAGACTTAGATGCAAGAAAAGTAGGAAAGCATTTTGCAAACCATATCACCCAGTGTATAAAGCAAAGATAGCGTTTGTGGTGTTGGGAACGGCCTAGAACTTTGCAAAGATGTTGCTTTGATTCAGCACTACTGGAATAGACCCTGCCATTTTACTAGAAGAGCAGAGGGCCCCACTGCAGGAGAGGGGAGGAGGGACAGAGAAATTGATTTTAGAATAATAGGATTATAGATTTTACTTGTCTCTTTTGTACAGAATAATTTATTATATAGTAAATGAAATGCAGGGCTGTGAATGAATAATCACTTTTTCCAGTCATCATATCAGCAAGTGTGCCCATGTGCGCTTCTGTGAACACCTAAAGACACAGATGGCATAGCCATATTTCTCTTCTCAGATCGCAACATATTTAGTTATGAGAGCCCAGACTTGGGGTGCTTCTTTGTGGGTTAGAGTTCGGCACCTTGGACCAAACATCTCAAATCGTTTGCATTATGGAATGTGTCCTCTTCTCGTCCAAACCTTGCCCAGGAAAATGTCTTGGTAGCAAGTGGGTCAGCACTCGGATGTAGGGTACTTTCCCACCTTCTCTCCCTCAGGAATTCCAATCCCTTCTTTAAAATAAAGAGCACGCTTCAGAAATACTCCTCCAGCTCCCGATACTGCAGTCAGGATCCTTCACTCCGTACTTGTCCAGGCTCTTGCCCCCCTCAGGAGTCCCCTTCCAAGGCAGGAAGCAGCCAAGTCTATAGGCCCACACCACAGGGCCTCCCAGGGTTGGAGGCCCCCAGCCCAGTCCATCTCCCCACCAGTGTTGGTCTGATACTCTGTGTGGGCAGCAGTAGCAAATGGCTCGCAACACAGCACAAAACCCAAATGCCCAGCACATCAAGCCTGCAAGAAATCTTGCTGGTAACTGAGCTTCACCGAGTTGACTTCCTTCTCTAACCATTCACATCCCCAGTGTCACAGATGCTCATCTGGAGGTCACAGCCCCACCTCCCTCCATGCTGGGTGTTTCGGCAGTGGTCTTCATGACATGTGCCCCACACCCACTCGCCCAGATTCTGCCTGCTCAGGCGAGCCGGGCCCTTCTTTCCCAGGATAATCCTTCAAATGCTTGAGTATGGCTCTCGCAGTGCCCTGACTCTCCTCTTCTCCAGGCCGCACACTCTCTGTTCCTTCCCTCACTGCTTCTAAGATGTAGCCCCAAGAATACGGCTTTCAAGATAGTCTGTTTGGCAAAAATTTTAGGGCTGCTTTGAGTCCTCTCTCACTGTTCCACCAGTTACTTGTAAACTATTGCAAGATGGACCCTCTTAAGACCAAAGCAAGGAAAACTCAGACTCCAAATGACAAGCAGACACCCATTTTTTGGGTTTGGATGGCCTTTAGCACATCTGCAGCTCCGGCCTGGCAGCCACGCTGGCATTCATTTGAGTAGAGGCCCCGTTATTAGTGAAGGGCTGCCTCCTTCCAGCTGCCAAATAAGAACCCACTCTTCACTCCATGGTGGGATGGCTCTGCCACACCCACCTGGAGCATCCTGATTGGGAGGCGTGTGGAAGCAATGCAAGATTTGCTCAGGAGATCTCTATTGAATTCCTGGGCCTGCTCTTGGCTCCTGAACCTCAGTTTTCTCGTTTATATGATAGGGATGATAAGCTCTTCCTTGTTGAGTCATGGCAGAATTATGCAAGTCGCAGGAGTGAGTAGAGATGAAGGCACTCGGCAAGGCATTCTTTTAGGTATAAACTACGCGTGCTACTCTTGTTCATGGCCACGCTGTAGATCATCTCCAACTTACCCCTGCCCACAATCTTCTCTTTTTAGAAAATGAGAAAAACTATCAGTTTTAGAAAAAAAGACATTTGGAGCTGCCATGTCCTGCTAAGACTAACTTTGGAAAAAGAAATATTTCTTTTTTAAAAAAAGATTTATTTTATTTATTTGAAAGACAGAGTTACACAGAGAGAGGTAGAGACAGAGAGAGAGGTCTTCCATCTGCTGACCCAAAACCAGGAGCCAGGAGCTTCTTCCAGGTCTCCCACGTGGGTGCAAGGGCCCAAGGAATTGGGCCATCTTCCACTGCTTTCCCAGGCCATACCAGAGAGCTGGATCAGAAGAGGAGCAGCCAGGACTAGAACTGGTGCCCATATGGGATGCCGGCGTTTCAGGCCAGGGCTTTAACCCACTGTACCACAGAGCCAGCCCCCAGGAAAAGGAAAAATTTCTTTCTGTACCAAGGAAGACAGTGATTCTGCATCCTTAGAACACAGAAAAATCCCCTCACCCTATTTTAAAATCAAAGCAACAAGATACCCTCATGGCTGGAAGACAGCATGTTCTGAGAATCAGTTGCAGCCACAAAGCTCCACAGAAGGCTTGAGGGCTCAGGTGAGGAAAGGAACCCTAGCAGGTGCTGCTGTGTGTGACAGAGCTGGCTTGCACCAGCAGGCCCACTCCCTGCTCAGAACATTCAGCTAGGGTTTCAAGTTCGTAATGAAAATCCTACTTTCACTTTGAAATAGTTTGTCTGAATGTTCTCCTAAAATTCAGAGTTGTCCCTTGAGTTAGCAGAAACATGAGTGTGCTGAAGGAATCCAATACAACCAAACTGTAATAATGATAAAATAAGAGAGATTTTAGCTTTCTGGAAACTGAACCCTCAAGGCTAAGAACTACATAGGTTGTGTGAGGACATACATCAGTGACAATATACAAGGCTGTAGCATAAAGACTACTGTTGCTAAAAAAGAATAGAGCAGGGGAGTGAAAACTCCTGGGGTTGGGCATATGACATGAGGGGGTTCCCAAAACATGGCAGTGTAGAGGGGGAGGAGAAGCGGTTAGTGGGAAGGACTAGTGCTTTTTGATACCGTACCTTGCTTTGTTTCCTGAGACAATGATATCATTTTGGGGTCTTGGTGCAAAATGAAAATGCAAGTGCCCCATTCAAAAACTGTTAATTTCAGGGTGGGAATAGCAGAGTATTAAACTGTGATGTCCTTCCAAGCCAAGGCTCTGTGTACTCACAGGTCCTACGCCCGTGAAGCAATCCTAAATACAGGAATCTGCACGTTTCACCTCTGTGACCAAGGCCCTGGCTGATGAGCTGTTCGAGGCGAGGCAGGGAGGCACCCTCATGCGATCCCAAGCCCCACCCTTCCCCTGCTCCAGTAAACATGGAGTCCTTCTGCGGATGCGGTGGAGCCCCCAAATTGAAGTAGGCACCACTCTGAGGATGTCTCGACCAGGAAATAAATTCTTGTGTGTGAAGACACTGAAATAAGGGCATACGTAATGTCATCCCACTGTAGGTTAAGCTGATCCTAAATAATACGGGGGGGAGGCCAGATGTCAATCATGAGGGGGAAAGCCACAAATCTGAAAAGTACCACAAAGGCAATCAGGCAGTGAGGGCTGGCGTAGTGTTTCCCATGCATTAGTTTTTTCCATTAGTGAAGCAAGAATGCAAAAACAATCTTTAACATGTTACAACTCTAAGAGTCCACACAACACTCATTGACTCATTGAAAGAAAGAAGACCTTATGCTAAGGAAGACATTTATATACTCTCCTCTGTTCACCTGCCAGTCTCTTGGCCCACTGCAATCCTTGATCCATTCTTTTGCAGACATCTTTAGTACTTTCAGAAACCAAGAGGAAGGCAGCCTTTTGGGGCAAGGTTCTTCTCTGTAGAAGTATCCAGCATACTTTGTCACTATGATGTGATAGGTATCCCTAAAACTCCAGTTGATATGGAAAGAATCTCATTGCTTTATAAATCATTGAAAATAGTCCCTTTTGTCATCATCTCTCTGTATCAACTTGGATGTCACCTTTCCTTAGAATTGTTCCTCATTGCTCTCAAACACAGGATTGCTGTAAGACACTTCTCTGTCACACCCTGGCATATCAGAGAAGGAGGTCTGGTTTAGCGGGGGCCAACTGGGGTCGTTTGCCAACTCCCTCTGCCATATCCGATACTGGTTGTTTGATTTGTAGCCAAAACACTTTTTGATTGACATCCACAGGGCTCGATTGTCAATAACGGCCTCCTGCAAAATAAAAAAGTTACTGTTTACAATCCAAGGTCAAGTGCTTTGAGGCTATGAGCACTCCACATACCATAAGGCCCTACTGCAATGGTTGCTTGGATCCAGCTTGACAAGAACTTAGGCCCTGAACAAATCTAAGATGGTTCATGGGATAGAGTTGGGCTTCTCAAATTTTCTAAGAAAGTAACTCCTGAGGAAGAAGAAAGAAATACATAGTTTTAAGAATCTGGGACCATAGTTTGAAGTAGCCTGTTTTAAATTTATTTTGACTACTGTATTTAAATTAAATTAAAAATATTCAGTTTCTGTATTTCTCACTAAAGCATATCCATATTTGATCTCATATAAAATGGAATTTAAATTGCTTAACACCAAATACAATTGACCCTTTAGAAAGATGCACCACATGTATGATATGTCTTTGGTGCACTCTGATGCATCAATTCATAGCCTTGAATAGAGCTCCATGAAATCGGAAAATAGGCCACGGTCTTGGAGTCAGACAGATCTGGATTCATCTTGCAGCTCTGATACTTACTATGGGCAAGTTAATTAGCCTACCTGAGACTCAGTGATTGAAAGAATAATCTCTTCTTTAAGTCTGTTGTAAGAATTACGTAACTAACTCCTCTTCTAATGTAAGGCATGGCATGGCATGACATAGCTCTCTCCTTTCAGCTACCCTTCTGAACCTACTCATTTAACAATGACTGCACTGTGGCCCTGCTCACACATGCTTCCAACCTTCTCCTTCATCAATATGCAATTTTAAGATTACAAAAGACATGTCTTTTTGGAAATACTTTGGACTGCCATTTTATTTCCTGAGTTAGAGCAAACTCTGGCTAGAATCCAAGTTACAGCATACAATACAGAATTCATGAGAAGTTATCACATTTTCATATTTGGTTGCAAAAGTTGACCATCTTAGAAATTACCAAAAAACAGAAAAACACAGAGAAAACTATGATGAGCCAAGCTGTCCCTGAAGAGTGGATTTTGGTGTCTAGTAGGAATAACTTTTCTACACTGGAAGAGTTATCTCTACAAGGTTCTACAAGGAACTTGTCAAAGAGAGTAATTTTCCTAAAATCTGTCTATCGTTGCTATTGGAACCTTATAGCCATGAAAAGTTTAGAGAACAGCAAGTCCCAGTCTTTCATCTGAAAGCTGGTCATCAGCTGCCAGGCTGCTGGAGAGTCATCAGCCCTTTCATCAGCTTCTTGAAAACCTCAGGGTTCACCAAGTCAAACCTGTTATTCTGCTTCCCCATAACAAAGGCTTTTTGTCCTCTTTAATTCATAAGAGTAGTTCTCCTTAGGGCTAATACAGGGCAGGAGCATTGGTATCAACTAAAGATTTTAAAATCTACCTTACCTCTAAGAAATCTTAGCAGACCTTAGAACAAAACAAATGAAACAAAACACACAGAGAAAAAATTTCACTGCTCTACACCTTGCCTTGAGCTTTTTTCAGTTTCAGCAGTGTGATGGCTTTTACCACCTTGCTACTTTGGAAGGGGAAACAGATACACTGAGTGGTGAGCTGCCCTGTCCCTCTACACTGAAACTACATGCAGAACTAGAAACAAAAGGAAAACCTTGATGAGATTCCATTTCTTAAAAAAGAACTTCACCACATTAGTTCTTCTGACTGGCTACTCAAACTATCCATGGGTACTTAATGATCCATACTATCTCCCATGCCTCTCAGTTGGAGTTTATGGCATGAGAATCAGCACAGTAAGGGTAAGCTGTCCTCCAAACTTGTTTGTTTTGGTGGTTTTTCTAAGGATTGGGTTACAGATAGAACTCAATAAACCAGTACTATGCAAAAGGAGGCCAGCATCCTCCATGGCTGTTGACAAAAATCTCTCTGAACCCTCTGTGCTAAAGGCTGGCCAGGCAGTATAGGGTGGACACTGCCCATGCCAGGAACCCTCAGATCTTCTTCTCACGCATACCTACAGCCATTGAGGAAAAACATCCTTTGCTCTGTCATGCTAGTCTGGGGTCCTCCCTGCTCTGCTAGGATCACCTCATGGAGCAGTAACTCCTTGTCCACAATTCTCCATTGCAACTGCCGTCACCAAAGATCAAATGGCTTTAGTTTGCCCCTAAGCAGAGAAAGGGCTGACTCTGAACAATTGGAGACCACAGTGGGGGTGTGGGTTGCTAGGGGTGGGAGATGAGCTGGGTCCCTTCAATGTTATTTTTCAGTGTAGAAGCTTCTGGGAACTCACGGAGAACATTCACATGTGTGTCTCTATTACTCAGCAGGAGAAACACCAAGCCTGATCTTTCATGAGCAGCACTTTGCTCTATACACCTGCTGGGAGTGGGCAGGGCCAGTCTTGCATTTAGTAACTGAATAAACTCTAATCCATCTCCTACTAGAAGAACGCAGTGTTTTAGATGCTGTAGCTACAAAGATGACTTCTTCAACACATAGTTTAATGGCCAGCAAGTGAAGAAATTTACACCCAAGTTTTTATAGCCCTGTGTCCTCTCCTCTCTCTCAGCAGACTATGAGCTGCACCCTCTGTTATCCTTATCCCCCTGATACAGTGCCCTCAGACATGGCACATGGTCAACAAAAGCTCGTGGAAAGAATGGATCAATAAAGGAATGAACAATTGATAGACACAAAGTAAGAAATGCAAAGCACCACCAGAGATTATATAATAATAATGGCTTCCATTTATCAGCACCTGTATGCGATTCTCATTTTCACATCTCATGCTAAAATCATCCTACGAGGTAAGGCACCATTGTCACCATTTTACAAGTAAAAAACAGACACACAGGGCAAGTGGAGCAAATCGCCCAAAGTCAAACAGAAGAAAGTGGTACCAGGATTCAAACCCAGCTGGCTTCCCCTGAACTTATGCTCCCAACTGCAAACAGCAGCAAATACATGGACAGAAGGGCTTCCTGGTAGGGGATCAGCAAAGACTTTGATACTTGATCACAGCCCATTCCTTCCCGTTTCTTCCTGCTCACCTAAAGGAAAATAAATAGTCTAAGCCAATCTCTTTAATTTGGGGCATGGTTTCACTTTTTCCTGCTCAAGATGATAATAAGACACAGTTCTAACCACTGAGAGATTAAAAAAAATGGCTGCCGGTGAGCTGCAAGAAAACATTTCCTGATGGAAGGTTCAGGTTTGGGGCAAGGACGGGGAGAGCTTGTTGATGCCTCTCCTGCCTTTTCTTTCTTCCCTGAAAACAGTTACACTGCTCAGCTACCTGGGAGCTCTGTGGGAACCACAAGCAGCAAACACAAAAGTCCGCATCTAAGGCTGGTGAGGCAGAAAGGTGGAAGAATGTGGCTCTAAAACACCTCTGCGTCTCTAAGCCAGTCCTCAAGCCACCTACTCCAATCTCCTTGTGGGGTCAATAAATAGCTTTATGTTAGTTGAGTTTTGTTGCTTTCCTATCTGATCCAGGGATCAGGAGAGATTCATGAAGAGGAGGGCACTATAGCTGTGCCACAGCAAATAGGATAGAGACTCAATATGCAGGAACAGAGGAAGGTGTACTACACGAGAAATACTCTGATTGTGGATGGGGCAAGATATGTGCAGAAGGTTATCCTTCAAAAGGTAAGGATGACTTTCCTGTAACTAAATCTGAGGACACCCAGGATAATGTTCTTTTATTGATTTTATCACCTTGGAGACCATATGGTTTAGCATCAGGCTTCTAAAAGTGTAGCCCTGAACCAGCCACATCAGAATCACCTGACAACCCATAAAATAGTCAAGCTCAGACATTTGGAGGAGGGCTCACAGTCTGTGCTTTAACAGACCTTCCAGGTGATCTGACACCCACACAAGTTTGAAAAACTGTGGTGTAACAGACAGAGAAAAGCTCCACTACCCTAATCTATGCCTGAATCTGCTACCAGCTCCTGTACAGCTCTACTCTGTATGGTAAGGAAGGGTCATTGAATTCCTGCCTAAACAGTACTGTGGGAAGTCTGGCAGGAGGTGTTGCCAGCCCTCTGTGAATAGCCCATCCACTGGAACAATGCTGGTTCTGTAACTTGGAGAAGGAAGGGAGGCAGATGGATTCCTGCATCTCACCTCTCCTTCATGAATGCCATTTGGGGGCACCCCCTGCCCAACAACTGGCTTTGTAGAATGGAGATTTTGTTTAACAGCAGTGGGAAAGGAGAGCATCAACTTGGGGAGTGGTAAGCGGGGTGAACAGGCTCATTTCCCTAAGAAAATGGAGCAAATAGGAGCTGAAGAACACAAGCTGGAAAAGCCCACTGTGGATCTCAGATCCTGTCTGCAAAGGAAGATGATAGAAGCTGTTATCTGAAAGGAGCCAGACGCAAAAGGCTGCACATAGGGAGATCCAATTCATATGAAGTGTCCAGAGCAGTCAAATCCACTGAGGCACAAAGTAGATTAGTGGTTGTCAGGGAGCAAGAGGGGGAGGGAGGGGAAATGAGGAGTGACTGCTAATGGGCCCAGGATCTCTTTGGGGATAAAAATGTTCTGGAATTATGTGGTGTTGAGGGTTACACAATTCAGTGAATCTACTAAAAACCACTGAGTTATATACTTTAAAAGGGTGGATTTTATGGTATGTGAATATGTGCTCCATTTTTAAAAGTGAATTGTGTTTGAGTCTCTATCATGGAGTTTTAGAAATGAATAAGACCTTAGACATGATCATCTATTTCCCCTAGCCCCACTTAATGGACGGGAAAATGAATGAATGAATGCCTTGGTGTAACTCATCAGAGGAAAGCACCATTGCTCATGTCATGAATCAAGGGAGTCCTTTGCACCCTTGAGCCCTTGTCAGCTAATGCCTGTTCTCAGATTCCCAAAGAGATCAACTCTCTCTCTCTCCCCTCCCCCTCCCCCTCCCCCTCCCTCCCCCTCCCCTTCCCTCTTTCCGTCCCTCTCCCCCTCCGCCTGCGCCTCTCCCTCTCCCTCTCTCTCAAACACACACACACACACACACACACACACGCACACAGAGGAACCCCATAGCCTGCCAGCACTCACCTCCACCACCAGGGACACAACGAAATTGGAGCTGAGCATGACCACGATGTAGACCCTCCACAGGACTGGAGTACAGAGCAGCTGGTGGGAGGTGACAAAAGAGTTAGGCTGAGGACAAATACATGCTGGGAAAGTGGTCATATGTTCACAGTGTACATTTTCATAGGTTATAAATCAAGTCTGTAATAAGCATATGTGTGCATCCACACATATATTATTTGTACTTACATACATGTATGCACACCATGTATCATTTGTACCTACATACATGTTTGCACACATGTTTATGAAAAATTCCTATGCATGTATGCACAGAAAATGTGTGGAAGGATTATACTCAATGATTCCAATGTTCAGGGGGTCGTAGTAGTTGCTTTTTTTTCTTTTGTCTTTCACTGTGTTTTTCTATAGTTTCTAAATTTCCTAAAATAACTATGGTCATTTGCAATTTAAAAAATAGAGAAAGCACTTTTGCTCACTTGCTGTGTTTTGTCTTGAAGAGGGATACAGGAATGTGGCTTTAATCCGAGGCAGCTTTGAGGGTGGGGGGTGTCAACCCTCCTCTTTGGGGATTGTTGCCCCCTTCTCTCTGGCACCACATCCATCCTCAGCTGAACCCTCTCTTGAGCACACATCAGGGCTTCCCCCTTAGGGAGCCCTGAACAACTCCATAGGCTGATCCTATGGAAACTGGCAGGGGAGCCAGTAAGGCTGGCATCAAGCTTTCTTTCCCCACTCCCGCAGTGTCTTCCCCAAGCCATTCCCCAGGCACAGTGGCCCATATACATGGATGTTGATTGAATGAAACAACAAGTATATGAGTGAGTGAATGAATGAATAAATGAAAAGGAGTTTTGGGGCCAGTGCTCTAGCATACTAGGTTAAGCCTCCACCTGTATCCCATATGGACTCCAGTTCGTGTCCCGGCTGCTCCACTTCCAAACCAGTTCCCTGCTTATTGTCTGGGAAAGCAGTGGAAGACAGTCCAAGTTCTTGGGCCCCTGCACCCATGTGGGAGACCCAGAAGAAGCTCCTGGCTCCTGGCTTTGGACCAGCCCAGCTCCAGCCATTGCGCCATTTGGGGACTGAAGTACCAGATGGAAGGCTTCTCTCTCTGTTTCTCCCTCTCTAACTCTACCTCTCAAATAAATAAATCTAAGAAAGAAAGAAAAAGAAAGAAAGAAAGAAAGAAAGAAAGAAAGAAAGAAAGAAAGAAAGAAAGAAAGAAAGAAAGAAAGAAAGAGGGAGAGGGTGGGAGGGAGGAAGAAAGTCTAGCACATTGCCTTGTACATTGCTACACACACTGTTGAGAGTAAAAATGGACACAACCCTCAATATTGCTACAAAAATAGCTTTGTCAAACTTTGTTGTATATCTTTGTCAAACCAATGGTTAAGAATGATGTGCTACTATAGTATTATGATCTGTGATTGTTTTAAAATTATAGCATATGATTTAAGCAGTCAACTTTTCATTTTGTTATTGTTTATAGCACTTGCCTACATTCCCACTAAATTTTTTACTTGTTGAACTCTTTATTTAGTGGAGCATTAAGCTTTTGACTACAATGTAAATAAAATGTTATCTCCAAAACTTAAAAAGAAAGAAAAAGAGAGAGAGAGAGAAAGGGAGGGGGGAATGAGGAAGGGAAGGATGAAAAGGAGGGAAGGAAGGAAGGAAGAAGGAAGGGAATATCATATTTTTGGAAATGCATCTATGAAATACACTGAATCTGTTCTCTTTGTATTAATATCACATTAACATGAAAAAAATAAAGTATAGGAGCCAGAGTTGTGGTATATTGGATAAACCCACCATCTGCAACACCAGCATCCCACATGAGTGCTGGTTCATGACCCCACTGATCCATTTCTGATGCAGCTCACTGTTAATGGCCTGGGAAAAGCAGCAAAATATGGCCCAAGGGTGAGGAGACCCAGATGAAGCTCCAGGCTCCTGGCTTCAGCCTGGCTCAGTCTTGGCCATTGCAGCCATTTGGGGAGTAAATTAGGAGGAGGAAGATCTCTCTCTCTCTCTCTCTCTCTCTCTCTCTCACCTCCTTCCCTCCCTCCCTCTCTATAACTCTGATTTTCAAATAAATCTAAAAAATGGTAAATGATGATTAACTAAGAGAAAATATCTTTAGAAACCTATAAAAAAAAGATGCAACCCTATGGAGGGCAAGGCTCTTAAAATCAGAAAGTCAAACCAGGGGTCTATGTTGCAGTGTAGGGGGTGGAGTCACCACCTGTGATGTCTGGCATCCCATATGGATGCCAGTTCATGTCCTGGCTACTCCACTTTCGACCCAGCTTCCTGCTAATGGCCTGGGAAAGCAGCAAAGTACAGCCCAAGTATTTGGATCCCTGCCACCCACATGGCAGGTCCAGAAGATGCTCCTGGCTCTTGGCTTTTGCCTAGGGGTGTTGCAGCCACTTGGGGAAAGAAGCAGCAGATAGAAGATCGATCTCTACCTCTCCCCTTCTCCCTCTCCCTCCCTCCCCCTCTCCCTCCCCTTCTCCCCTCCCCTTCTCTTCCCCTCTCCCTCTCCCTTCCCTTTGCCCTCTCCCTCCCCCTCCCTCTCCCTCTCCTCCCTTCTCCTTCTCCCATACAAGAAAAATGGATCTTTCTGATGTACGTACAAAATAAATGTGAAAATATGTAAAATAGAGTGGTGCCATTGGTTGCCTCCAAAAGGAAGCTGGGATGAGAGGAAGATTGTTACTATACAACTTTTCTAGGTTTTTAATTGTAAACCACATGAATGTACTATTTTAAAAATTAATGCACTTTTTAAAGTGAGTGGTATCTAGGTTGAAAAACAGCATGTTTCCATTTAAAATAAAATAAACTTCATAAATTAGCCAAAACACATTTATAATACATGAATTGTAAAAGGTGGAAGGATATAGTGAATAATGTTATAATTGTTTCCTTGCCTGCACATTCTACATTTTCTAAAATGAGCCCATATTTTAATCTAATGATAAGAAAAAGCATTATTTTCTTAAAGGGAACAACATTTCTTTGTGAAATCCTTTGTTGCCATAGCACAATGACTCCACACCGATTCCCTTCAAGCAAATGTATTCCCTACTTTTTTACACGGGAGCCCAGCCTCTCTGTAAGGCTTCATACATTAAAGAACATGATTAAACCCAACATGTCTTCACTTAAACGTCTTACAGATTAAGTAGCTTTGACTCACTTCAAACACTAGTGGGCAATGATTCCCATAAGTACTTAATCTAATTCATGGAGACACTTAACAACAAAGGTAATTACAGTGCTAATCACAGTTATGCAATTATAAAAATAAAAATGGGATAAAAATATTAGCTACTTGTCAAAAGTCACTGTGAGTTTATGAAAGTACTCCTGGTTTGGAATGCACTGTGGGCTCCAAGAGGGCATCTTGATGATCAGGTCATCAGCCATTCCTTTGCCACTTTGTGCCACTTGTGTGCAAGGCACTAATAAGAATGAATAAAATAATCTTGAGCCTCTTGAAACTCTTGTTTGCAATGGAGAGACAAGTATTTGTCACTTAATACAAAGCACTAAGTGAAATAAGCTGAGTTCCTTTGAGCATCTCTTCTGTATTGCATTTGTCTGTCTAAAGAATATCTAGCAATGTTTAAATGCTGATTCAAAAGTAAAATAGATTGGAAGAATCAAAACATATATTTTCCCTTACATGAATATGCAAAATTTTGGTATGCAGTAGGACTTAAAAGTTGCCTCAATACTACAAAATGTTAGAGAAGGCATGAACTAGTGCATGAAACATTGATTTAAGTTTTTAAATGTTAAGTATAATAAACATAAAGTATGAACACAGAGAAAAACATCTTTTTAATGTGGTAAAATAAATGGAAATACAGGTTTGGGAATTAACCAAAAAAAAAAAAAAAGAGTCACAGGCAAAACTGCTTTAAACAGCTTTAAACCAGAAGCACTGAAGAATAAATTCTCTCGCATTTGAAAGAGAAAATGTATGAGATTTTTCCAGTCTTACAAGGGATCTTTTAAAAGAAGAATGTTCAACACTTTTCAAAAGCTGTGTTTAGTTTCAGGAAATAATGACAAGATGAAATTTTATCTCCCTACCAGCTTAAATTAAAAAATATGGATAAATTCAGTATTCTTTTAAACTCTGCCATTGCCTCCAAAATAATTGGTGTCAAGAGCCCACATCAATTGCAGTTGTACCTGCTTTTGGACATCAGAGTGTTACATCACCATATCCCAGAGATGAGACTTACGTCCAAACGCCTGTATAGTTCTGGAATGTCAGCAAAGAGAATGAACAGACACACACCCAGCTGGATGATCAGCACAAGGACAAATGTGTCTGAGGAAACAAGAACACAGCCATCATTGTGAGCAATGACAGTAACAGCATATATTTATTGACATACATCATCTAAACACTGGGTAAGTTGCCTTGTGTTCTACATCCAAACACAAAGTAATAGCTACACAACCAGCCTCACTGCTACAATTTCTACACAGGCGTTTGAGACAAGTGGAAATTGCCATGTGCATGTTGTAAGTTTCAATTCATAAAAGTGGTAAATTTTAAACAGGGTAACATTGACAAAATATGTTTTGTAGTAAGTGCCTTAAAGACATTCAAGTTTCTGAGTATCTAAGGCAAGTCACCTGCCTCAAATTCTATTCTTCAAAGAAAGAAAGCTGTAAATGAACCGATTTTTAAATTGCAATTATGTAGAGGTCAGCATTTGATTGATTCCTCATCCCAAGATGAATGCTAAAATAATTTTCTCTGGACAAACAAGTTTGATGAGGACATCGATTATTCAATGTGTTTTTCTGAATTTTCCCATTTAGGAGAGTGGTGATAGTATGTCAATAAATGTTCCAGCAATTGCTCAGGTTACCCACTTCCCCTCTCAACACAGATTCCCACCCCACAACGTGAGGAACTGGGGAACTTCAGGTTCCCACTCCCAGTCTACCACCACACAATGCCATCCTGCCCAATGTCTTCACAGCAGGAGACAGCTTCCAACTGGATGCATTCTGACAAGTAGAGAAATAAATTGGCCCTCCCAATTTGGAGTAATCCCAAGAAGACTCCTGAAGAAAATTTTCTGATGAAGGGAAGAGATGGAGAAAGAAGTCCTGGAACTTAATGCCACTTTGAAAGAAGCAGCAAAGGACCATGAGAATGAGGCTGAACAGTGTCTTCTACAGAGCCCTGGAGTGGGAGTCAGGAGACCGTACATAAAATACAACTCTGAAGCTGCTCCCACAGTCACCTGGGCACAATTATTTTCCACTCTGAAGTCCTCTCACCTCTGACCCAACACAGTTCTACTCACAATTTGTATAGGTAGGCTGTCTAAACGGTTTTCCTTTAGAGAATGTAAAAGCCACAATGATACAGTTGATTGTTCCCAAGAACCATATAGTAGTGTTCTCAAAACTCGTGAAGATACCATTACTTCCAGGCTTTTCTGGAGCAGTTGGAGAAATGGCTAACTTTGAGATGGTTTCATTTTGCACTGTGCAAGCACTAAAAAGGAAATCAAAGAAGCAAATGAAGTAAATTACAAACACTTACAGAGCATTGGTATCTGTAAGACTCCATGCCAGCACCCAATACTTCCCACAATTGCCTACATTTTAGTAAAAAAATACACTGAAAGAGTAGGAGAAAAGAATAAGCACAGAGAGGCCTATCCTTTGGATATATGGTAGAGATGATGATTAGATAGATGGGTGGATAGATAGATAGATAGATAAACAGGTTATTTATTCAACAGATTGTATACCCATCATGTGAACTAAGACTATAGGGTAAAGAGATGAGAAAGTTATGACTTTCTCAAGTGACTTGAGAACTCTGATCATTTAAAATTACAATGAATATGTAACTTAATATCCAGTGAGGAAAGTTTTGAACATAAAAGGGAAAAATCAATAATTTCACTGGAACATTACTTAACTTAAGCCAGGCTGATTAAACTGGGGCTATTTGGGAAAACCATAATCTATGATCACCCTAAATGTAAAAAATGATGATACAGCTGGCACTGTGGTGCACCAGGTAAATTTGCCACCTGCAATGCTGGCATCCGTTATGGGTGCTTTTTTGGAGTTCTGGCTGCTCCACTTCTGATCCAGTTCCCTGCTACCATGCCTGTGAAAGCAGTGGAAGATGGCCCAAGTACTTGGGTCCCTGCAACCCAAAGAGATACTGGGACTGAGTTCCAGGCTTCTGGCCATTGCAATCTGAGGAATGAACCAGTGGATGAAAGATCCTTTTCTCTCTCTGTAACTGTCTTTCAAATAAATAAATACATTTTTGTACAAAAAGATTGTGATAGGTCATTATAATACAACACAGGCAAAAGTGTCATTGAATGAAATCATCAAATTTTGTGCTACAAAGAAGAAACAATGGCTAGAAATTTGCATAAGGGACTTAGGGAAGCCAAAATTTTTGCAGAAGGAAGAGTCATTTGCCATCCATCAGGTTGGCCAGATGATGCTTGATAGAAATTAGAATGGAGAAGCTAGATTTTGAGTCTGTGATCATACCTGTGCGCATCGATGGAATACCATGTCTGCTTCTGAACCAGGACAAAGCCTACGATATGCATAAGCAGACTGAGAAGAATGTTAAAAATCACAGAGAGTAGCAGAGGTGGGGAGATCAGCCGTCCTGCAGGTCTGAAAGGCACCAGCTTGGGGTAGGCACCGTTAAGATTCACTGCAAAAGAAATTCAAGTTTTATATTCGTAAAAGCAGGAAAATGCTGCATTGTTGATCAGAAGCATTGTACAACTTCTTGGGCCCACATATCTGAGACAATGGACAAATTGGAATACATCACAAACTGTGGGAACAACACAGTGAATTCAAATTAAAATCATACAATTAATTCTTAAAAGAGCAATCATAGAACAACAATGGGATTCCAATCTTTTGCCTTTTGAAATTAGAAAAGATAAATTATAGATAGGGGAGTGAGAAAAAACACTCCCATACATTGTTGTGGGTATGAAAATTCATGCCAACTTTCTGCATGGCAATTTGGCAATATATGTAGAAAGATTGAATAATGTTTGCAACTTTTGACATAGCTATTCCACTTTTAGAAATTATCCTAAGAAAAATAATCATAAATGTGGAAAGATGTTCATCACACCATTGCCTACAATAAACTATACCACTTCTACATAATGGAACAACATGAAGTCATCAAGAATAAATAGTTTTTTGTAAATATATATATATATATATATATATGAGAGGCAAAGTTACAGACAGGGAGAGGAAAGATGGAGACAGAAAGGTCTTCCATCTGCTGGTTCCCTCTCCAAATGGCATCAATGACCGGAGCTGGGTTGATGCAAAGCCAAGAGACTCTTCCAGGTCTCCCATGTGGATACAGGGACCCAAGCACTTGAGCCTTCTTCCACTGCTTTCCCAGGCCATCAGCTGGGCTCTAGATGAGAAGTGGAGCAGCTGAGACTTGAACAGGCACCCATATGGGATGCCGGTGCCATAGCCTGAGGTTTAACCTAATATGCACAGCAGCAACTCCAAGAATAAACAAATAATTTTTAAAATATTTAGTGACAAATGAAAAATTACATCAGCAAAGCAGTAATTAGAGTTCCAATTTCCCATCTCTCCACATAAAAACAAGCAGAAATGATCAGAATTAACTTTGTCAGAACTCTGAAATACAAAGTTTATAACACTCAAATGAACAGTAAATCAACCAGACAAAAAAGTAGCCTTGAAATGATAAGAAAGTTTTGTAGCACTTTTACTTGCATTTGCCTCCCGCATTGGTCAGCTCAGTGGGAACCAGGAAGATGGTAGCCTTGTTTCTTAATGAGGCGCCCTGCTCCATGGTTATAGAGGGACTCACCAATCATTTTAGGTCTGTTCTAACTGGTCTGGGAGCAGCCTGAAGAACCATTTCACTTAATGCTATACTCACAGCAGGAAAGCAGCAGATGTTGCTAGAACACAGTCCTCAGTTGTCTGGGGCAAAAGATTACAGTTGGGATACAAAATAACCACCCAAAGTCTAAAAGGAAAAGCCAATGAAACATTCTTTGATAAATTCAGCCATTCAAAAGCATCTGTGTATACTAAGGCAAACCAAAAGCCACGTACATGCCCAGGGTGAGACCCAAGTTTGGAGAAGGCAGAGATCCACAACTTTCAGTTGTGGATGAGCTCCAGCCTCAACACACACCTGGTGAAGTACTGAGGAAGTATTTCAGCACAGAACCAATCTACACCACTTGGGAAACAGGTTTTTTTATTCATTTTCCTTTTAACCCCTGGAGTTCAAGGAAATAACTGTCAAGCCACTAGCTGAACAAAAGCTAAAGGAACAGATATTTCAGTGACTATACTTGACAAATAATACAGTCTTTGCAAAAAATGGTTTAGGAAAGACACCAAACAAATGGATTGCTAGAGTCTTCAACAGATAGCAAAACGAAAAAAAATGTGAAAACCCTAGGGAAGGAAGAGAATTTAATTGCCAGAATTACCACATTCTAATATTCAATGGGACAAAATAGATTGATAGAAAGCATTCTTGAGGAAACAATGATGTTGCATTTACTAGGCAAATACTTTTAAAAAGTCTGTCTCAAAAATGCTTTAAAAACTAAACGAGGAGCCAGCATTGTGGTGTACCAGGTAAAGTCACTTCCTGCAACATTGGCATCCCATATGGGTGAAGGTTAGACTCCACTTCTGATCGAGCTCCCTGCTAATGTGCCTGGGAAAGCATCAGAGGATAGCCCAACTGCTTGGACCACTGCATCAACGTGGGAGACCCAGAAGAAGCTCCCGTCTCCTGACTTCAGCCTGGCCCACCCCCAGCTGTTGAGGCCATCTGGGAAGTGAACCAGCAGACGGAAGATCTATCTCACACTCTCTGTCTTTCCCTCTCTCTCTGTGACTCTGACTTTCAAATAAATAAATAAATTTCAAAAAGGAACTAAATGAAATCATGGGCAGAGAACCAAAGGATAGCAGAAAAATAATATGTGAAAAAAGTCACATGTAAAAATTATTAAAAAGCAGCCAAAAGAAATTCTGGCATTAAAAAGCACAATAAATATAGTGGAAAAAATTATGATAGGCTCAACAGAAAATTTGAGCAGGCAGAAGTAAACTTTAAAATAGAGGAGTTGAGGGGCTGGCACTGTGGTACAGCAGATTAAGCCACTTCCTGTAGCACTGGCATCCATTGTGGGCACCAATTCAAGTCCTAGCTGCTCCACTTACCACCCAGCTCTCTGCTAATGAACCTGGGAAAGCAGCAGAAGATGGTCCAAGTCCTTGGGTCCTTGCACCCCCTGGGAGACCTGGAACAAGCTCCTGGCTCCTGGTCACCCAGCTCTGGCCATTACAGCCATTTGGGAAGTGAACCAGCAGATGGAAGATTCTCTCTCTCCCTCTCACCCTCTCACCCTCTCACCCTCTCACCCTCTCACCCTCTCTCCCTCTCTCCCTCTCTCTCTCTCCTTCCCTCCCTCTCTCTCTCTGCCTTTAACATAAATTAAATAAATATTTTTTTAAAAAATATAGCCATTCAAATAACCCAATCTAAGGAGAAGAATGATAAAAGAACAAAGAAAATTGAATAGAATCTCAGAGATCTGCAGATCTCTATCAAACAGATGAACATGCACAGTGGGAGTCTCTGAAGGAGAGAAGAAAAAGAAAAAAAAAAGACTATTTGAAGAAATAATGCTAGAAAATGTCCCAAATTTGATGAAAGGCTTCAATTTGCACTCATGGAATTCAAAATATACACTAAACTAAACCCTAAGAGACTCACACCCTGGTATTATAATTAAACCGTAAAAATCCAAAGACAGAGAACCTGGAGACTGGGGCTGTGGCATAGTGTGTGAGGCCAGCATCTGCAGTGCCAGCATCCCATGAGGATGCTGGTTTGAGTCCCAGTTGCTCCACTTCCAATCCTGCTCCCTGCTAATGCAGCTAGGAAAGCAGCAAAAGATGACCCAAGTGCTTGGCCCCCTGCATTCACATGGGAGACCTGGAAGAAGCTCCTGGCTCCTGGCTTCTGGCTCCTGGCTTCGGAGCTGCCCAACTCCAGCCATTATGGCCATTTGGAGAGTGAACAACTGGATGGAAGATATCTCTCTCTTTCTCTCTCTCTCTCTCTCTCACTCTCTTTCTTTCTCTCTCTGACTCTGCTTTTCATATAAATAAATAAATGTTAAGGAAAAAAGAGAGAACCTGAAGCAAACAGGAGAAAAATGATTCAAGATCTATGAAGGATCTTCAATAATACTAATAGTCAATTTCTCATCAGAATCATGGAAGCCAGAAGTCAATAGAGTGACATATTTAAAGTGCTGAAAAAAAATCTGTTGATTAAGAATTCTAAGCTTTGCAAAACCAAGGTGCAAAAATGAGGGAGAAATTAAGATATTCCCAAGATAAACAAAAATTGTAGGAGTTTATTAAACCTACTCTAAAGAAATGTTCAGAGGCATAAGTTGTAATTAAAGGACACTAGACAGAAACTGAAAGGCACAGGTTGAGATGAAAAGACACCAGCCAGAAACTCAAACCCTGAAGAATAAATAATGATGTCCAGTAAAGGTGATTATTTCAACAAATGTAAAAGCCAGAATTATTATATTTTGGTTTGTAATCACACATTTTATTGCTACATGATTAAAAAAAAACACAGGGCCAGCATCATGGCACAGTGGGTTAAGCCACTACCTATAATACCAGCATCCCATATGGGCACCAGTTCAAGTCCTAGCTGCTCCACTTCTGATCCAGCTCCCTGCTAATGCACCTGGGAAAGCAGCAAAAGATATCCCAAGTACTTAGACTCCTGCCATCCACATAGAAGGCCCAGGTGGAATTCCAGGCCCCTGGCTTTGGCCTGACATAGCCCCAGCTGTTGCAGCCATTTAGGGAGTGAACCAGTGTAGGGAAGATTGCTCTCAAGCTCTCTCTCTCTCTCTCTCTCTCTCTCTCTCTCTGTAAATCTCACTGTGTAACTCTGTCTTTCAAATAAATTAAGCCTTTCAAAGAAAGAAAAATGCATATAAATAATTATACATCTATATTATTTGGCTCACAGTAAAGATGCAATTTGTGATGTCAAAGCAAAAATGGGGAATAGAGCTAAAAGGGAGTAGTAGAATTTTCACATTCTTGAAGTGCATATATGAATTCAAACTAAATTGTTATAAATTTAGTATCTTATATGCAATCCCTGTGATTCCACATCATTTAATGAAAAACAAATAGCTAATGTAATAAATCCAGGGTAACAGATTGAAGCTCTTCCCCTAAGATCAGGAACAACATAGTGATGCTCAGTTTCAACACCTGTTTTCAACTGTGTTTTTAGATAGAAAAAAAGAAAAGAAATCCAAATTGGAAGGAGGAACTAAGATCCTATATATTGAAATCCCCAAAGAAATTAGAGTTAACAAATGAATTCACTAATATTTCATAGTGCAAGATTAATACAAAAATCAGCTTTTTCTTCATACTCCAACAATGAATAATTCAAAAAGTAAATTAAGGAAAGATTCCATTTTGAATAGCATCCAAAAAATGAAATATCTAGGGATAAATTTAACTAAGAAAGAAAACTAGTACACTGAAAACTACACAGTTTTTCTCAAAGAAATTTTAATCTATGTGAATTTATAGAGATACATATCATATGCATGG